AGTACCAGAAAAAGGCAAAGATTGTGGAAAAGAAGATTCAGAAGTATGCGAAGGCCAACAAACCACTCACTGAGAGCAAACTCTACAGCAAACAGGTGGCGGAGCGGGATAGCGCCCATGCAAGGTCGCAGGCGAAGACCACGTATTTCGCAAAGCTGTACGATGACTTCCTGAAGCAAATGGAGCAGACGACAGGGGGGACGCTGGACAGCTTCCTGGACACTGAGTGCTGCATGCTGGAGCGCACACTCGATGTCGTACGCGAAGTTGCGCCACATGCCACCCAGCGCTACCCGTCGATATCTAAGGTACTCGTAAAGTCTGCTCGACACAGTGTGACAATGCGGGCGGCTGATAACTCTCCCCCAACAAAGACGTCGCGAATAAACCCCGTCAACGAGAGTGTAGAGGCACATCCGAATGGCGAGGCAACAACAACGAGTAGACGGCTAGTGGAGCCATTTAACGACGCCACCACGCCTGAGAACCCATACCTTCTAAACTTTGCAGAGGTTGAGTCTAACTCTGCGGACCGGGACGGTAGCTGGCCGATGCCGCAAACGCACCTGCGGCCGCCAACGGTGCACTCGGAGGTGCATTCGCCGGTCTTTTCTGAAGTGCGGAAGGACAACGGTGCTGCAGCGGGATCGAACCAGCCACAGGAGCCAATAAACACGGCGGAGGTAAGAGCAAGTGCACCGGAGAATGCTGATTTTAGTTCTACCCTCCCCCATAGCACACTGGAACCATCAGATACACGGCAGCAGCCCCCTTCAGTGCACTAGGAGATACTTTTTCTGGACACCCCCATTTATTCGGTAGAACATTATGCACCTGCCGGAGGGAAAGGAAGGAGTGACGCATTGAAATAGGAGGCTGGGTGCTTATTGTTCATGAGCCAAAAGGTATTTTTGCCAACAGGATTAAGGCCGAGCTTGAGACACAGACACATATTGCGAGTCTCCACACATATTGGAAGCAGTATGTGTTTCTAAGGGTGAAGGAGGGACGAATGGGGGGAGAAGCGCCTTAATGCGCGAAGAACCCCCCATTTGTGGTTTGTCGTGATGCTTTTTACTGCCGCCTCAATTGATACCATTTGGATATTTTCTGTTTTGTGCTGGCACCTTTCGGGGCTAGTCTCCCTGAGCCGCAGCTCTCCTCAACCGTCTCCGGCGCTGCTGCTGCTGCTGCTTTTCTCTGCTGCTCCTTCTCCCGCTGTGCTGGGGGCGTCCCTCACACAATCTCCCCTCCACTCTGCGCTGCCTGCGAGCCAAGGACACGAAAAGAAAGAGACATACCCAACGCTGATACCGCCACCGACCAGAATAACAACAACAACATCAACCATCCGAGGAAAAAAAATTATTTTGTGAGCTGCACAACACAATGGCGAAGTCGAACGCAAAACAACAGCCGCTCACCGTCATCGAGCTGTACTTTCAAAATGCCTTGTCAATCAACAGAAGGCTGGATGGGCTCGAGAAGGCCTTGCAGGATATGGCCATGGCGTCAATGGATGTGGCCGCAGCGGGGGAGATTGTTGGCAACTGCTATGTCGACGTGACGGAGGCGGTGACTGTGCAACACAAGGAGGAGGAGGACAAAAACGGGGAATACCTGGTGTCGAATGACACGGCGGATGCGCTGCACAGCTCTGCGAAGTTACTTGCGCTGCAGATGCGTGAGCTGAAGGTTGGGAATTCGCTGCCGAACTACAGGGCCAGCATGCAGAAGGAGATTTTTGAGCGGATGCCGCCACTCCGTGAGGCTGTCAAGAAGACCCTTGCTGCGGGCAAAAAGGCAATGAAGTATCTGCGGAAGTACCAGAAGAAGGTGGAGACGGTGGAGACAAAGATGCAGAAGTATGCCAAGGCCAACAAACCAATCGGCGAGAGTAAGATGTACGGCAGGCAGACAGCGAGGCGCGACAAGGCCCATGCGAAGTTGCAGGTGAAGAGTACATACTTTACGAAGCTATACGATGAATACATGGCAGATGTTGAAAAGAAGGTCGGGGAGATGCTGGACCACTTCCTGAACATTGAGTGCTGCAAGCTGCGACACGCATTGGACACTGTGCGCCAGGTGGCGTCACAGTCCGCCAAGTGCTTTCCTCCTGCAGCAGGCGTGTTTGTCAACGCAGCTCGCCACAGCCTGTTACCTGGAGGAGAGGATAACACTCTGTCAACGAGATCGCCGTCGATGAGGCATATTGCAGCGGGTGCGGAGCTGTGCGGCAATGGGAGTCTTGCGCGGCTACCGGGGCGACAGGAGGAGCCCTTCGGGGGAGCCCTCTACGCACCTGTGAGTCCTTACGGTAATGCTATGAGGGAGGAACCCACTTCCGCAGTGCACGGCACAAGACTTGGAGATCCAGGCATGCAACCGGAGTCCCCGCTGGCGCACTTGGACGCAACTGCTGTCTATTCATTGCCGCCGGTGGCCAATGACAATCATGCAAAGACGGTCCAACGCCCCGAGGAGATGTTGGGAGAAGAAGCCACTTTTGACGACTCGTCGAAGAATGCTGAAGCTACCGGCGCCACTCCCAACGACAAATCGAGTCCTCCAGATATGCAGCCCGAATCTCAACCACCGCACTCGGGAGAAGCACCAATGTATCCCATGTGAAAACGGGCGGATCGCTATGGTGCTGAAGAACGCCGTTGACGAAGATATGCATGATGCTTGTTGATAGTACATAGGCGGCTCGTAAAGAAAAAAAAACTAAAGGATCGAATTTTTTGAAATTGCTATTGTGAGTGTGAGACATACACCTTACAGTACTATTCTGCTTGCTAATCCATGGGAGGAGTCGTGTTGTGTCTGCGTGATGGTGCGTGCAGCTGTGTGGTGGGGCGGG